AGCCCAATGGTCTAAATGTGGACTTTACAAGCTTCAAAATCTCCCCAACCCCGACCTCATCCCAAGACCAGCCCATCTTGCCCCACCTCCTTGACCTGTCCGTCTTTTCTCCCACCTATCCGCTCCTCCCACTTCACTGACCAAACCCCACCCCCACTTCCTACCTACTAGCCTCATCCCCACCTCCGTGACCTGTCTTTCTTCCTTCACACCTACCCACCACTCCCTCCTCACTGACCAACCCCCATCCCAACTCTCTACCTAAACTGACCCGTACTGGCTTCATTCCCGCCTCCTTGACCTGTCCGTCTTCTCTCCACCTATCTGCTCCTCTATCCACCTTCTATCATCGCGTCCCCCCTCTCTATTTATTTCAGATCCCCCTTCCCCTCCCCCATTTCTGAAGCTTTCCTGCTCCTCTGATGCTGCCTGGGCTGCTGTGTTCATCCAGCTCCACACTTTGTTATCTCAGACTCCAGCATCGGCAGTTCCTACTATCTCTGGGTATGCAGGGTAGTTTGATCTTAGAGTAGGATAATAGGTCGGCACAACATCGTGGGTCGAAGGGCCTGTTCTGTGCTGTACTAGTCTAAGTTCTATATCGCCAATCTATTTAAAGTATGCTTCCACACTTCAATGCTGCACCTCAGGGTACAACAGCAACTATCATTACAATACTGTGGCAAGGAAACTATGCATTCAGGGTCACACAGCCAGATCATCAATTGGACCAGACTTCATATCTGGGTTTTTTGCTGTTATGGTGCTTATTCACTCTGAGCCTATCTGGATCCTCACAGAATCCTGCCATTGGATTACCTTAAATGCCTTGCCTTTTCTGTGTTTTTGTGCTTTTCCCTCTCAACAAGAGATGCCAGGCTCACAGTATTGCTGCACGACTTTGTCGTTTAGCACAGACACAAACTAGGAAGCTTGTCATGGTTATCGGTGGGCTAAGTCAAGTCAACAAAGACAGCCTTCAGTCATCAGTTCTGGCAGAGTAAGCCAAGGGCACACCTCCAGGATCTTGGAGACAGTCAGTTAGCTGCTTGGAGCAGTCAGAGTCAGGATGCTGTTCATTAAAGGAATAACGAGCTGAATGTCAGGGGGTCCACCACCAATCTGGACTCTTTCCAGCCTACTATGGGCTGCCTTTTCCTCCTGGAAGGAGAGACAGGTATGAAGGCAGATGGAAGATGGTAGAACTGATGTTACTTTAGGTGCAAGTGGTGTTGGTGCGAGGTGGGGGGTGGTGTTGCCACAAGCGAGTGAGTAGCCAGTGCAAGACAACGTGTGGTGTCAGGGTTTGAAGTGAGTGACAGTGAGTGGGGAGATGTCACAGGCAATTGTGAGCATAGTAGATCATGAGCCTTCTTGGGAGGTTAATACTGTACCAAAAATTGAGGGTGAGTGTGAGGTATTGAAGAGAAGATGGTGGCACTTACACGAGAAGAATGCAGAAGGACACTGACCTACTTACATTGCTGGACATTGGTCCAGACAGCTGAGACTGCACTGACCTGGGGGACAACCTGAGACTAGGCTGGCATGATCTGGTGTCTTGATCACCACTGTCATCTCTCTGGGAGAAGGACATCCCACCTCTGCACCACTTCATCCACGGGGACCACCAAGGGCCTTGCTCACAAAGTGGGGTGCCAAGCTTTACTTGTCTGCCACATCTGATGTCACAAATTGTGCTGGACAGCTCAGAACACACAGAGGTGGCACCTGGGTTGTTGGTAATTTCTGGGTTTTTTTTCACTGAAGGACCCTGGGCATCATTGGCTAGCTGGCATTTATTGCCCATTCCTAGCTGCTCTTGAACTGAATGGCTTGCTAAGCTATTTCAGAGGGCAGTTGAGAGTCCATCACATTGCTGTGCATCTAGAGTCACGTATAGACAGACCAGGTGATGATCGCAAATTTCCTTTGGTGAACCAGATGGGCTTTTCTGACAATCAATAGTTTCATGGCCATCAGATTCTTAATTCCTGACTATTTTTTAAAATTGAATTCAAATTCCACGAGCTGCTGTGTTGGGATTTGAAGCTGGGTCCCCAGAACATTAACTGAGTTTCTGTCTGGCAATAATACTACTAGGCTATCACCTGCCTCATTGGTATATCTTGGCATTTGTGAATGGGAACAGTCTGTGGTAAGCTGGGACTAGAATCTGATGAGGGGAGTGCCATTGGTGTGGAGTAGGTAGTTAATGAGACAAGTTTGACAAGATTGGGTCAAAATCCTACAACTAGTGGCATTGTAGGTCCAACTACAGCACGTGGACTGGAGCAGTCCAAGAACGTAGCTCACCATCACCTTCTCAAGGGCAACTAGGGACGGACAATAAATGCTGGCCTAGCCAGTGACACCCACATTCTCTGAGTTAATCAAAGAAAAGATACAGTGAGTGATCCTGCTAAGTGTCAATCCTTCCAAAAATCTTGATGAAACAGACTCTTAGCCAAAAGAACCTAAGATTTAGCCTCACAAGAGACTTATTTAATAAACACTTTACTATGGCTTCATCTTGCTATAAGCCTGCAAGACGCTTGCCTTCATTGCTCAGACCTTTGAGTATAGGGGTTGGGATGTCATGTTGAGGTTGTGCAGGACTTTGGTGAGGTCTCTTCTGGAGTACAGTGTGTAATTCTGGTCACCCTGTTATAGGAAGGAATATTATAAAGGTGGAGAGGGTTCAGAAAAGATTTACTTGCTCTCCCATGCACACGCGCACGCACACTTGCTCTGCCACACACGCACGCACACTTGCTCTCCCACACGCGCACGCACACTCGTTCTGCCATACGCGCACGCGCACTCACACTCGCTCTCACACACACATGCACGCACGCACATGTGAATCTCTGTGGGTGAATTTGCATTTGCAGATACATTTTGTTTTGTTCAAAAAGCACACAATTTATAGACAGTCAGTGTGGCACTTTATAAATTCCTAGTTTAGAAATAAAACCAGTCTAACTCCAAACCAAAACACAAACAGGTTCTAAACAAGGCATCACATCTAACATGCATTGTCTGATCTAAAATGTCACCTCTTCTTTACACTGATTAAACCTTTAGTTCTCTCAGGACAGTGACTTCAAAGGAATTCGGGATTTACATATACATATTAATCAATTAAAACCTTCTAACTGATTAAAGATTTAACAGCATCTTAGATTTGTTTAGAACATCCTCATCAGTGGTGTGACCCCTTGATCTTTTACTTATAAATTCTGTGTCTGATACTACCTTTCTCACTAACACCTGATGAAGGAGGAAGACTCGGAAAGCTTGTGTTTTCGAATGAACCTGTTTTACTATAACCTGGTGTCATGTGATTTCTGACCAATTCCTGGGATGGCAGGACTGACCTATGGAGAGAGACTGTTTCGGTTTGGACTGTATTCTCTGGATTTTAGAAGAATATTCGGGGGAGGTGATAAACTCGTAGAATTTTATAAAATTCTCACAGGACCAGAGAGGGTAAATGCAGGAAGGATATTTCTGATGGTGGGGAGTCAAGAACCAGAGGTCATACTTTAGGGATACAAGGTAAACCATTTAATACTGAGATGAGGAGAAGGAATGGTGAGTCTGTGGAATTCTCTGCAATTAGAAAGTAGCTGTGGTCAAAACATGAAATGTTTCAATAAGGAGTTGGATGTGGTCCTGAAAGCTAAATGAATCAAAGGGGATACAGAGAAAGCAGGAACAGAGTATTGAGTTGGATGATCCGCCATGGTTATAGTGAACGGTGGAGCAGGCTTGAAGGGCCGAATGACCTCTCCTGCACCTATTTTCTGTTTCTGTGTTAAGGGTGACTGCTTCAGGTATGTTCAGATTTCTATTGGTTTTCTATCCTTTTCCATCCAACATATTTAGCTCACTCTCTTCCCTTACCATCCCCAGAAATATGCTTTATTCAGTAGGAGGATTGGTTGTTTGGTGCTTCATTGGCAGTGGTCATTGGCAAAGAGAAAGGGAGATGTTGCAGGTCATTTTTCTGATTTACGTTGGACCCTTCTGCCACTGATTCCTTCCCCAAGAACTCAAAAAAATCAAACTGCCCAGTGGTCCAGCTATGAATCAATAATTCTTTCCCAATCCAATCAAAAAAAGGACTGCTTTTCACTTTATGGAGCTGAAGGAACACAGCAGGCCAGGCAGCATCAGGGGAGCAGGAAAGCTGACGTTTCGGGTCGGGAAGTGAAGGAAATGTCAATTTTCCTGCTCCTCTAACGCTGCCTGGCCTGCTGTGTTCCTCCAGCTCCACACTGTGTTATCTCAGACTCCAGCATCGGCAGTTCTTGCTATCTCTGCTTTTCACTTTTGAAGTTTATGCTATCTGAATCTGTAACCAGGTTAAAGTGGTCAGAATAAAAATGAATCTGAAGATGTTTTTAATAGTATGAACTTTATAAACTTGTAGTTTGAGTCCAACTACTATGATGTGATGCCTAAAACACATTTTAAAACAATTTAAAGCAATGGCTACTGTTTGTAAGAGATTGTTACTGCAACAGTTTTGAACACATACATTCTTTGCAGTTGATTTGTTGGAAAGAAAAACAATATAATTTTTAGATAAATTAAATGTTGATTACAACAGCTTTACATTCCTAGCATTTTGGATGTCCTTTAAACTCACTAATCCTTTGTCTCTAAATTTCATAACTCAAGTCACTTTATCATTTGACACATTGCTTGATGCAGCCTTTAAACACACAAATATGGTTCTTTTTCTAGAAAGCCAAATGTCAGAGTAACGTGCAGTTGGGATCACCTGTGCATTTGAAATAATTGAAGCTAACAATTAATATATGAGAAGCATAACAATGTAGCTAGAGCAAGGACTACTTTTGTTACATTACCTGGGTTATTGATTAGGTATGGGCCAGCTTTATTCATTGCTTTTCTTTGTGCCCATTGTTCAATTTAACTAGGAAAACAGGGCATTATTCTTCACCTTGCAACTTATTTCCTCCCTTCAGGGCACACACTTCGTTATCACTGGTCTCTTATTTGCTTGTGAGTATAAGGTGACTGTGCAACCCATCATTCTCCAGGGACAGCCAAAACAAGCTGTGACCTATGTTACAACTCCTCACTGCAGCAATTCAATTAAAGCCAAAGTCCTGAAACGCCTACTCTGTGCACGTAATGGTGAGTGGAAGTGAAAAATTGTGCATCATGGTAATTGTGTGGCACTTTTTGTCTAAATGTTTTGGTTAAATAGTTTGTTTAATTTTCATACTTTATCTACTGCATATAGCAGATGTCAACTTCTGGCATCAACTTTCCACTGAAAAAATTATTAGGTGAGTTAATGTACCATTTTATGCAGAATCTAAACTCTAACAGTTACAGCAGCTTATTTCCACACATAACAGTACAAAAACAGAGATACCATGACACACTTTGCTGTTTTTAGCCCATTGGATAACTGGGATGTAGTGCAGAGAGGAAAATCTATTGTGACTATTACACACTATTAATAAAGCCAGACAGATTTTATGTTTATTTAAATTTCAACCACCCAGGGACAGTACATTTGCTTTCTGCACTGCAACAAGGTGAATCAATATACTTGAGCACTGTGACAAGAAAATAACCCAACTCTGTTTAGTTTAACTAATTCTCAAAGAACCACCTCTCCAATGAGGAACCGATACATGGTGTTACCAGACCCAGAGCAGAATACAGCCATTCGAATGAATCACTCTACTTTCAGCTTGGTGCACTAGTTTTCACCCAGATTCTTCTAATGTTGCAAATAGAAATGTTGATCTGATCCACATTGTTAAAGGGCAACTTAATGCTATGATTGCATGCTGACTCCTATCAAGTAGCCAGCTATATAAACACTAAGGAGAGGCAAAGAGAACAGGAACAAACCTCAGGATAAATGGAAACATGAAAAGAAAACTCTCGGCCAACTTCACGACCTACCAAATTGTTTGATAGTCAATGTATCCAAATGCACAGTACGTGGTTGGTAAATCAGTGAGAACTGATGTAAGAGAATCAGGGTGAATATATTATTACACATACCAAAGCAAAGCAGCAGCTGTTCAATACCCCAGATTATTCTTTTACTCCATTTTAAAATCAGATTCTTTCATTTTTAGAAATTTTGATTTACCTTGTGTTTCAGTTAATAATTCACTGAATATTGGGGATGATGTCACAGTCCACATCAGATATTTAATGGAGTCAGTATGAGATGATTGACCAAAATCTGAAATTACTCTTCTCATAGCATCATTGGTTTCACCCAAGATTTGATTATTCATAGGGGACATGTTAAGAACGATAATGCATTTTGGAAGCTGGGAACTTTTCAACCAGCTTCAATCTTTGCAAGGACTGTACACTCTACATTTTTGCCTATGGAGCCTTAAAGGCAATGATAAATGGCCTTGCCAACAAATATAAACCACATTAAAATTGTCAATCCATGTGCATCGTATGAAAGTGATGACAGCGCTCAAGATTGATACAGTTATACACAGAGTTCTCATACTCTAAGTAAGTTAATTAATTAGAGGGGAACAAAGGATAGCCTTGTCTGAATGTCATCGTATGCAGCTTCTATTGAGGCTGTTTATCAACAATGGCTTTGTATAGGTATGCTTCTGATGAACTTCAGTTCATTTTTAAGGATTCTTATTCTTTAAATCAACAGTATATCATTCTGATTAAGTAATGTTAAAGTAAATGTAGAAGGAAGTGTATAAATATTTTTACATTGAAATGAGCATGAAAGTAAATGGTACAATTCTCTTTTCTGCCTTGATACCAGGAATTCGCCAGATGTCCAGTCAAACGTCTGAAAAAGTCATGCTGAAAGCAGAGAAACTAACTGCTGCCTTTGTTTCTGAAAATGGTTCTGTCAGTGTAGAGTTTCACTGGCAGGTCTCACAGAATCAACCCCATCAGTTAGTCACTGGGTACCAATTCAACTGGACGGAAATATCCGCTGTTAACAGACCGGTTGTCATACCAGATGTGGTAATTTCCCAAACTCAAGTGTTGCCACCAGTAAGTTAAGAAAAGCATGCTGTGTTCACGTGAATTGTGGTGGAGGAGAAAAAATGGATTCAACTTCTGTATCTACTTGTTGCAAACTTTGTATTTACAAGTTGCTTCTAAATAATAGATTTTATTTTCCAAAATGTTTTTTATAGCATACTGGTAAATTTTATAGCATACTGGTAAACTCTTCAAAAATGGTCTTATGCCTAAAGTCAGCATGAAGTGAGAGAACATGCACCCAAAGATGTCAGCCCAAGACTGAGTCCAACATGTGCCTTATTCATCATTTTCTTAAAACTGGGCAGCAGTGAACATCCATTGGACATCCATTAAATTAACTCAAATTCATCTGGCAGCAAAACAAATGTGGGCCAAATGCAAGCCATGAACAAAAACAGAAGTTACTGGAAAAGCTCAGCAGGTCTGGCAGCATCTGTGAAGAAAAAAATCAGGATTAATGTTTCCGGTCCGGTGACCGGAAGGGTCACCGGACCCGAAACGTTAACTCTGATATTTTCTTCATAGTTGCTGCCAGACCTGCTGAGCTTTTCCAGCAACTTCTGTTTTTGTTCCTGATTTACAGCATCCAAAGTTCTTTTGGTTCATATGCATGCCATGGTGGAGTGGAGTGGGGTGAGGTAGGGTCAAGGCTTTTGCTGTGGAGCAGGCATAGGAATGCTTTTCCTAGATCTGCATTAAAGCAGGTAAAATCCAAACCAAATTGTTGGTTCTCTTTCTTGTGCCTCCAGCAGTCTTTTAAGAACTGGCAGTACAGCCACTGTAAAATCAAACTAACCGAGCAGGGTTCACACATTTATGCTCAACTTTCTAATTTGCTTTTAAAACTATAAAAGTTGACAAATTCAATGCATCTATATCCTGGACATTAAGTAATTTCCGGTTTCTAGTGTGGCAGCTAAATTATCTACTAGGTCTACTGAAAATTCGTCCCTAAAATTATTTAGCTCCCAGAAACACAAACCAATTATCTTTACCACAAAGTATTTAAACTTCTTATTCTATTGCTTTGACAACAAGCTACATCACCTTACTTTACTATATCTAACATTCTTAACAGTTCATTTAGTGAATTTTGACCACATTATAAAAGAAAACCCTGAAGAGCATACCAAATAATTCATCCAGGTAATTCCAGTTTATGAAACTATAGCTATGAAAGAATTTTAAAATACTAGATTTATTTCCACTGAACAAGGATAACTAGAAGGCTTTGTTTTAAATTATAACAATCTTAATAGAATGAATAAGGAAAGATGAATTCCTCTGGTTAGGGAATCAATGAAAAAAGGGTCATCAATGTAATGTTGTCAGAGAGTGAGGAGAACAGTTGGGATAAATTTTGTTACACAGAGAATCTTCGGGCCAGGAATTGCTGTGCAACTTGCGATGGTTTAAGCATAGATTATTGCTTTCTTAAAAGAAAATTGGATGAAGCTCATTGGTTAGGCCACTTTTGGAATGCTGAGATCAATTCTAGTCTCCCTTCTATAGGAAAGATCTTGTGAAACTTGAAAGGATTTAGAAAAGATTTACAAGGATGTTGCTGGGTTTGGGAGATTTGAGCTTTAGGGACAGGCTGAATAGGCTGGGACTATTTTCCCTGGGGCTGAAGAGTAACCTTATAGAGGTTTATTAAATGATGACGGACATGGATGGGGTGAATAACCAATGTCTTTTTACCAGGGAAGGGGAGTCCAAAACCAGAGGGCATAGTTTAAGGTGACTTTTTGCTGAATCCAGAATAGTGCACCAGAACACTTTCCAAATGTGGATGAAGTAAAATTCCACAGTCTTTCCAGAAGCTGTTCTGGAGCAGATGTTGATACAAATCACATTTCCTGTAAGTTGGGTGCCGATCTGTTTTGCAGCCGAACAAATATATTTTGCTGAATGTACAGAATGGACCTGCATGGCCCACATTTGTAAATTAAGCTCCAAATCAGCCAATCTTGGTTATCTGATGTCACAGTCTGGCCAATTGGGAAGATTCTGGCACACATGCTTTAACCGTGCAGGTGCCGATTCCAATATGGGCGTCATGCAAGCTCACTGAAAAGGTGGTGTTGTTGACACTATGTCCCCTACTTAGAAAGCCTTCACCTTGCATAGTGTTGGTTCCAATGGCTCTACATCTTGTCCATAGATGTGATTTATAAATTGTCCTTAAGACTGACTGCTGCCTACCTGCTTCACAAACAGAAGCGGTGGTAATCTTAATTTGGTAACAAGGCACTGTGGAAGTGCATTTACAGAAAAATTACATTGAATCATGGGAAGGTGAGCACCCACAAATTTTTGTTAAGCAAAGCTTTGAGATAGCTGAAGTCATCCCCATGTGTCCCAATTTGTCTACAAACACCCTCTATTTTTTAAAAAAGGTGCAGTTTTTTATTTGACAAAATGTCTTTGCTCTTTCATATTTGAAAAATAATCTGGTTTGGTGAATACTCATTCACATTGTGGGCAAGATCATTTTGCAGCCGTCAGCGCAAGTTTGCCTGTGATTTATTACATTCTGGTGTAGCCTAACTCCACTCTGATTGGTGTGATCACATGACAGGCAAGTACAAAATTGGCTAATCCAGAGTTACCAATCGGAATTTTAGTTTATTACACGCATTTTTCATTTGGATTTCCTGTCATGCAAGCAGGACTGGCTGACAAATTCGCCACAACCAGAGTGTCAGATTATCTGAATTTGACTCATTACGTTTTCACCCAATTGCCCAATTAACTCTTTCCAATCTACAATAACCTCCAGCTACAATCAAAGTAAAGCAAAGGCTGATTCAATGAGCTCACACTGCAGAAACATTCTTAGTTAACTTCAAACTGTAGTCAGATTTTCTGTTGTAATAGCAATCTCTAGTGTTGGAAATTTGTACTGCAAGAGTCTTTAACATGTCAGGAGGATAGTTGGAATCACGCCCAGGTCATGATTGTTTCATGTGTAAACCAGTTGATCCATTTGCCTTGATTACAGTGTTCCTCTTCTGTCACCTATGCAATTGCTCAGTTATGATCTAATTTTGTATATTTACAGGATCAGCCCTTTATTACGATCCTCAATCTTAAGCCTCTGACAACTTATGGGATTCAAGTTCAAGTACTGTCTACAACTGGCAAAGGCCCAGCAACTGTCAAAACATTTCAGACTCCACAGGTTTACACTACAGTCTCATAGAGGTTAGTTATACCATTCCACTCAATTCAGTGTGTTGTATTCTTGTAATGAACACAGATATTGTGCAGTTGAAATAATCTATTTCCAGACTTTATCAAAGATGTGTGGAAGTACGTCATTTCAGGGGTTGTTGATCATCTTATGTATCTAACTCAGTCTGATAATATTGTCCAGTACTTTGTTCCTCTAAATGTCTTTGAAAATTTATTTAGTTTTAACTTAACTGATCAAAGCTTTCTGTGTGTTTCAATGTGGGGACTGATGTTTGATGGTCGATTCCTGTTTTATTTAATCACAGAAGCAAGTATAACTTAACGAGCTACTTTTATATGCTGAGTTTACTTTTTTTTGAATTACTACAGGTGCTAACCAAAACAATCAGTCGAATCTGGTGTCAAGATGCTCACAGTGAGAGTGGAATTTCAACAAAACTTGGAATTATCATGACAGTAACCAAAGCTGTTCGTGTTCTAACAATTGAGCTGTTTATATAACTACTCGGAAGATTGAGCTTTCTGGATTTTCTGCCTCTGCCTTTGTCATTGTGTTTATTGAAATGTATAATTGTTTCATATTTCTTCAATATATACTTGGCATTTATAGTTAAATCTCCAGTATCTCAGAAAATCCTGGATTATTATAATTGAGGAAACAGGCTTGTGGTAATCTTGCTTCCCTTGACATTGAAAACAATCTAGAGACAAACAGAAAACTACTAATTACAATCTGAGCTAAAAGAGAATTCAATATGAATTATGGAAAGACACATCATGGAATGAGTTAAAAATTGATAACTGTCCAAACCACAGGAAATTCAATGCCAAAGACTAGTAGTTGTGGTTACAGGAAAACAGACTTAATAGGCAAAGCTTACAAGTGATGATAATAAATATTTGGAACTTCTTTTACATCCCCCTTTCTGTTAACTAATATCTATCATAAGCCTGTTTTCTTTTTGCATTGTATCAGACTCTCCCTCCCTCAGGAAATGAAATCAATTGAGTATTTAAGCACAGGAAGGCAGTGGGAGGGGAAATTGCAATTTCTGTCTGAAATTCAATAAAACTTATTACATATTAATCTAACATTATATTATACACTGACTAGTTGGAGTTTGTATGTGACGTTTCCATTAGCACAGCAGAACTGAAACAATAATATTCTGCAGGTAATTGATTATCAGTCAGTACTTTGTTTAGTGTGTTTCAGTCACATGTGTATCGGAAAACAAGGTATTAGAAACATCAATAACTCAACTAAGAAGTAGCTTTACACATTTTGTCTGTATACAAATTGGAACCTCTTTTTGAAAGGAATTAGAACACCAGATTCAATTCAATAGATTCATTCTCTGCTTGTGATGAACTTCACTTGAAGAGGGAGCATGTTGGAAAATCCATGTTCTGATATGAACCCCTAACACAGGTCATACTCAGGAGCACAAACAGAAGTTGCTGGAAAAGGTCCGGTGACCCTTCCTCACAACTGGACCCGAAACGTTAACTCCCTGATTTTTTCTTCACAGATGCGGCCAGATCTGCTGAGCTTTTCCAGCAACTTCTGTTTGTGTTCCTGACTTACAGCATCTGCAGTTCTTTCAGTTTTTTTTTAAAACAGATCATATTCACTTTTGTATCCAGATCAACACTGGGGATTAAGTAAGTCTCACAACAGCGGAGGAAGTAGCCCAGTATTTCACACCTAGTTTTGTGGCTACTGGTGAAATATAAACCTTGCAAGTATAATTCTCCTTCTCTGCTTGAACTGCTATCAAGGATTACCTTTTGATGCCACGTCACAACATAATTTCCATTGATCAACATTGGAGGATAACTGCAAGGCACTTCAGTCAAATTTCAAACTAACCTTGCGTGTTTCAAAACTCCACTGCAAGATCAGTTTAGGTGTCGTTACACCACTCTGCATGTATCTCTCAGCCGAACATACCGCAAGGAGGCAAGTGTTCATGCCACTGTCATATGGAAAGGACAAGATAAATGGTTACAAGTATCTAGGTGTACACAGCCAATGCTAACTTTTGATCAGTCTGTGGTCCCATCTTTCAGAAAGTACCATGTAAAGCACAATCTGACTGGAGTAGTTCTAAATAACTTAGTAGCCTGAAGCTTTGTCAAGCATTTCTGTCTCAGAGTTAGGCCTGCATACCTGCCTTTTGGAAGTAAAGTATCACCAAGGGTCTAGGCCCGAAACGTCAGCCTCTCAGCTCCTATGATGCTGCTTGGCCTGCTGTGTTCATCCAGCCCTGCACCTTGTTGTCTTGCACCATCATCCAATGATTTCACTTCTCTCTTCAGATACAGGAGTGGGGATACCAATAGCAGGGCAAGAATCACCTATTAGGCAGTATGATTCTTAACCTGGGTTTCCCTCTCCATGCTCTTGTCAGCTTGGAGGATTCCCATTGGCTTCAATTAGTGCAGGAAAAATAAAACTACTGGCACAAAGTATAATGAAAACATAAATCACAGCAGAAAGGAACACCAAAGGCACAGAAAAATATACCTTTAATTTCGTGAGCTTTTCAAAGAATGGATATCCAAAATTCCATTTGTTTCCAGGCTGGAGACTTTGAGCTTAGCACACCATGTCACAAATGGAGCAGCGGTTGTCTCAAACCCTCTTATATGTTTAAGAAGAAAGTCTTACATTTATATAGTGCCTTTCATGATCTCCAGACATCCTAAAGCATTACACAGCCAAGAAGTCTATGTGCACTGTTGTAATATAATGATACCTCCACATGGGTCCAACTATAAAATGAAGCAGGCCTGACTTCAGGCAGCAGGCGTTCCTCCAGGTAAATACACTCAATCTTTAAATTAGAGTACACTGAATGTTTGTTCCTATATTTTACCATCTCCTATATGGAAAATGGGATAGATTTTCTGCAGAAATTCCCCAACTCCCTGGAGTAACTGCTGTTTATCAGAGATGGAGAACCCTGTTTATCCATTTTTCCTAATCAACCTGTTCAGAGATGTTTTATTTTACAAAAGAGATTTTTTTAATCAACCTGTTCAGAGATGTTATTACACACCCACACAACAGGTGGGACTTGAACTTAGGTCCCTCAGTTTAGAGGGAAGGGACACTACCTCTGCACCACAAGAGTACTCCAGAACCCTGTTTATAGTTTATGAGAACAAACATGGATTATTGGATTCATTGTACAACCCTCAACATTATATTGGATTAAAACAGGAAAATGTTGGAAATACTCAGCAGGTCAAGCAAGCAATTAAACATTAATTCAGTTTTTCTCTCCACAGCAGCTACCTGTCTATCTGAGAATTTCCAATTTTTTTAATATTTCAGATCCTCAGCATTCATATTTTGTTTTTGTGCTACATTGGGTTCGTAAACTTGCACAGCTTAACATGTAAATCTTTTATGCCTAAGCCAACCTTATGTTAATTAGCTAATTAGTGAATCGGTTAATTAGCTCCACAGTCTCATATTGTGCATCAGTGTTTTGCTTGGTCCTTTCATTAGATCTGCACCTAACATTGAGTTTCATTTTTCTCGAGCAACTATTTTAATAAAGTGTTAACAATAACTCAACATCCTGTAGCGCTTGAACATACACTTCCTTGTATAATTATCCTTTGAGATCCAACGTAAAATATAAAAATAAAGATTATGTGTGGGTGTGTATCTAAATCATATTGGTAAACATGAAATGTACTATAGCTTACAATCAATATCATCAAAACAGTAACTCTAAGGATTTGGGGGAGACCATTTGCCACTGAGATAAGAAGAAATTTCTCCACCCAGATAGTGGTGAGCCTGTGGAAATCTCTTCCACAAGAGAAAACAGTTGAGGCCAAAACATTGAATGTTTTTAAGAAGGGGATAGTTATACAGCAAACTGGGTTTTGACCAGCACCTTATAAATTGGCACTCTCAATAAACCAGCAAAAATTATATACCTTAAATACAGGATGTTTACTGAATTATTGCGATCTCCACGATATCTGAATAATCAGTTGAGGGTGCAAGTGAGAATGTTCTCTGCCAGTAAGTTTTATTTAAGACAAAGTTGCAATATTATTTAAGTGATTTATGCTGTATATAAGATATAACAAAATTGTGTATAGCCCTTGCATTATGTTGTTATTGCTTTGTGTGTGTTTTACTTTGATTATGTGGATCTCTTGAGTACCCAGAATATTTGATCAACCTTGTACACTCCTGATTTCACAGGTGCCAGTTAATAAAAAGTTTGCTGGAGCTATTAGTGCTAAAGCAATCAAATGACATGGGGAGAAAGCAGAAACAGGATAGAGTTGGATGATCAGCCATGATCGTATTGAATGGAGAAGCAGACTCAGTGAAGGGCCCAATGGCCTATCCCTGTTCCTTTTTTCTGTTTCTATTTCACTCAAGCTACCTCCTCTGCAATACAAACTGTTTCCTCATTAATATTAATTTTCATTACGTAACATTACAGATTGATCACAACAAAGATGGAGCTATTTGATGCATTGAGTTCATTTCAGCACTCTGCAGTAGCAAGTACAGTACAGTCACAGGCATGTGCATGAATGGGCTCAAACTAAGCAGTTTGGATGTAGTATTTCCCTCAGTGTGACATGCTTTAAGACAACAGAGGACACAGCAGTAAGATGGAAGCTGAAAGCTTCATATCACGGGGACGCATACCATGCTATGATGGTGACATCATGACATCACATATTTGCATGGGGACACGACACACCCCGCAAACTTCTCAGCTCTAAGGAGAACAATGCCACCTTTTCCAAACCATCGACATAAATGAAGTGCCTCACTCATGGAACCTTCCTAATCAATTGTTACTGCACTCCACTCCCTCACCCCCAGACCTTCATTTCCTCCCAATAACGTGGTGCCCAGAACTGGACACACCACTTCAATTTTAGCCAAACTAGTTATTTTCATAACAGTCATTAATAATTACCACCAAAAGGAGTGGTCCAAGTACAGACTTTGGGATACCTTACCCCACACTACACCTTCATCCAACTTTCCTAACGTATGATATCTGTTTCCTGTCACTTAGCCAATTTCATATTCATGCTGCCACTTCCCTTTCTTACCACACATTCATAGAGTCATACAGCACAGAAACAGACCCTTTGGTCCAACTCAACCACGCTGACAAGATATCCCAATCTGACCAAGTCCAATTTGCCAAATTTTAACCCATATCCCTCTAAACCCTTCCTATTCCAGATGCCTTTTAAAACGTGCAATTGTACCCACCTCCACCACTTCCTCTGGCAGCTCATTCCACACATGCACCACCCTCTGCATGAAAGAATTACCCCCCAGGTCCATTTTTAAATCTTTCTCCTCTCACCTTAAACCTAGGCCCTCTGGTTTTGGACTTGCCTACCCCTAGGGAAAAAGACCTTGGCTATTCACCCTATCCATGCTCCCCATGATATTTGAAACCTCTATAAGGTCATCCCTCAGACTCCAATGCTCTAGGGTAAAAAGCCCCAGCCTATTTAGCCTGTCCCTATAACTCAAACCCTCCTGTCTCAGCAATATCCTTGTAAATCTTTGCTGCACCCTCTTAAGTTTAAAAATGTTTATCCTATAGGAGGCTGACTAGAATCGTATGGAGTATCCTAAAAGTGGCATCACCAATGTTTGCAAGGTTGAAACCAATCATTTGGAACTTTATCCAATATCTTTTAGAAGCCCATATACATTAATGTAAAACCATATCAACTGCACTACCATTATCACCCTTCTTTGTAATCACCTCAAAACCTCAAGAGACTTAAAAATGATTTGTCTTCAACAAAGCCTTGTTAGTTGCATTAATATTATTCACCTTGTTTATCCTCAAACGTGAAAACAAAACCAACATCTATTTAAATAGCACAATGTAAACCCTCATCTCAATTGGCTGCCAATTGTATGTAAAGAGAAATATGATATCAAGTCAAAAAGTGGCAATATTAAGAGAGGTATCTAAAAGGTTGGTCATAGGTGATGTTTAAGGAACTGA